GCATCTTTGTTTGGATCGTGATTAAAATGCAGTGGTTGCCTCTGATATTAAAAGGAAAGAGCACAGACAAAGCCTTAGTTTGTTTATATGAAGAGATTTCTTTTATTTGTGTTATTTATTTGATTTGGGGCTTGTTTTAAAATGTCAATTTAGTTTTGTTATTTACATTTAAATGTAGTCATTTAGCAGATGCTTTTATCCAAAGCGACGTAACAAATGAGGACAACAGAAGCAATCAGACCAACAAAAGAGCAATAATTTACAAGTGCTATATTAGTTTATTATTATAGTGTTATATTTCAATTTCACAAAGAAACGCGTAGCATTTTGTCCAAGCAATAATAAAAGGACACATTTAATTTATAATTTGTCTTAAATCTCATTTTAAAAAATTAAAAAATACATAGTAAATCGACTGGAACCGTGAGTTGAGGGAATCGTATCCTCGTGTTTGTCTGGGCCTCACCTGAGAGGTGGCCGCATCAAAGCCGCCGCTGACCGTCCCGTCGCAGTCCTCACAGGAGAAGTGTCGGTCTTTATAAACTGCACTGAGAGGAAATCAAATAACAGCACGTCAGCGACATGCAGCGCTGGAGGAAGAGCTCATGTGAACGTCGCTCTTACCAGCCGGAGCTCTTCATGGCACCCAGCAGGAGCTTAGCATAAGGACCTGAATGAGACACACACCGCTTCAATTCATGTGTTAAAACTGACTGTAGCCACTGCATAATTTACTGTGACCATGAAACAAAAAATAAAGGTAAATGTCTAAATTGTGTAAAAATAATAATAATAATCATACTAATAATATAATTGGAATTACCTTTTTTATTTTTAATTCAGTGGCAGAGGCCAAAAAAAGAATTGCAAGATGTAAACTTAGAATTCTGAGAAAAAAAAATCAGAATTGTGAGATTAAAAAAAAAATGCAATTACTATTTTTTTTTTTTAATTGGTGGAAGACACACCAAAAATTAAAAAAAAAAAATAAATAACAACAATAATAATAATAATTGTGAGACATGAACGCAGAATTCCATATGTATACATATTCTGTGGCAGAGACAAATAAAAACAAACATGTGAAATGTAAACTCAGAATTCTTATTTAGAAAGTCAAAATTGCAAGACAAAATCAAAATTGTGAGATTCCTCAAAATTAAAAAAAAAAATCAATCAAAAATGTATTTGGTGGGAGCATGCGAGAAAAAAATTAAAAATTGTGAGATTAAGTAATAATAATAATAATATTATATAATAATAAAACTTATTATTTTTATATTATATATTTATACAAAAAAAAAAGAAAAAAAAAAGTACTTTTTTCTTTCTTTTTTTTTTAAATGTATTTTCTGGCAGAGAGAGAGAGAGAGAGAGAGAGAGAGAGAATAACAACCCTGAATTCTGAAAAAAAAAGAATAAAAGAAAAAAAGAAAAAGTCGGAATTGTAAAAAATAAGTTTTTTTAGATTAAAAAAAGTCAGAATTGTGAGATAAAAATTATTTTTCTTCTTGTGAGATAAATTTGTTTTGTGATGAAAACATGCTTCCATAGTAATGCAGAGATGATCTAAAACATGACATGTGTGTGTGTGAGTGAGTGTGTGTGTGTGAGAGAGTGTGTGTGTGTGAGAGAGTGAGTGTGTGTGTGTGTGTGTGTG